TTTTTTTTTTTTTTTTTTTTTTTCATTAGAGGATACAGAACCTCCTCATGTAAACAAGCAACTAACTTCACCCAAGGAATCACGAATTAATATTTCTCTCATATACTTCAACAGGAAAAATGTGGAGTATCTGAAAAAGAGCATTTGTTCATCATCCACAAACTTCTCTAATGATATTTTATTATATTTGTCAGTGTTCCTTTCATTTTTACTTATCAGTTTGCTCCAGAGGAAATGAAAGTGGCAGACAAAGAACAATACATGTGAGGAAGCTCATAACCTACTTATTCTTGCAAGTTAGAAGTTAGAATACACTTCAAGATCCTCTCCATATCAGTCCTTGCTCAAGGAACTATCATATTAAAGGTGCAGACAAGGGTAATACAAAATACTTCAGTACCTCGTCCATATCATCATTGCTGTAAATGCCATATCGAAAAGCCTGACTCAAATTATTAGCTAGAGCTGCAACATCATAGTCTCTGTCTTGGTAATCATCATCATCACTATCCCTAGTTCGATCCTGCAGTGCTGTTGGGCGCCTATAGAAAATAATCATTTCATTTTCAGAAGATATGCTAGAAAGTTAAATGTTAAACGCACAACAAATATAACCCAACGTCATAATGACAATGGCTCGAGCAAGAGAAGAATTAAGTGCACAGATATCAACTGAATGGTGAGACAAAAACCCATCCAACATAAGATTTGAGTGAAAATATATAAAATATAACAATAACGTTGAACCATGTCATAGTGCCACTTCTCGTGTTGATTGATTAAAACAAAAATATTTTTAAAATAATTTAAAACAATAACAAATCAAGGTTTTAATGAAGGTTTCTTGTATTGATTTTTTCCTTTTAACCGTAAAGTTTTCATTGAATAAATGAAAAAGAATGCTCACAGATACAGACTCCTAAAGAGGGGGGAAAAAAGATGAAGTAAAAAAAACCAAATAAATTAATAACTGCTTTCCAAATAAAAATAATGAGATCAAGCTTAGACTAACCCAAAGAACTTGAGAAAGCTTAGGCAATAGAAACCCCTCTGGAAATTGGAAAGCTAATACTATACAAAATATGGTGAAAACACAATCTACTGGCCCTTTTTAGAAACTTCTCATAATTCAAGGGCTGACTATCATAACCAATAAAGGTAAGCTTCTTAAAAAACCAGACAAAGTAATTGTCAACATCAAGTTCCTAAACAAAAACATGGTCTTCCCGAGTACCTGGATGTATTAATGTCCCTGATCCGTCTTTTTCAGGCAAATACCAATAAAAAAATCAGTTTAGATAATGCTTGATCATATATTATAGTTGATTCAGTCATTTCACACCACAAGGATTCCATTAATTCCAACAGATCAATGAGTCTATTCAAACATATTTTATTAATATCAGACGAGAACATAGTAATAGTTTGTATATCATAATCATTTCAGCCATTCAAGGACCATAATATTTAATGTAGCACAACATCATGGAAAACTAAAAATGTTCTTCCCCAATGTCTTTGCAGATTTTTTCGGTTGGGTAGCCTTGAGATGGAGACAGTTGTGATCTAGATGTTATGCTGACTGCTGGTACTTGTAATAAAAAGAAGTGAAAAATAGCAAAGGAAATACATACCCACACGCCCACTGGTAGACATTTTCCAATGCATTACGCTTCAAAAGGACATTTGTTTGCCAGTCATTCCATTCAGTGTTCTCCTGTTGAAGAGAAACATGGGAAAATTTAAGGATTGTAATGAAAATTGTAATGATGTCACTAAGATTTCAAAAAATAGAACTGACCTGCAAATGAGATTGAATCTCACTACTGCTGTTTGCTAGTTGAACAAGTTTGTTGGATATGTGTGTTAAGTGACCAATATTTCCTATCCTAGGTGGTGATCTACCTTCTGCAGGAACTGTTGGCTGAAGAACATGTTGGAAAAAAGAGAAACAGACAGACATTCAAGAGCAACGAATAAAGAATAGTGTCTTAGTAAGACAATGTATCATAACTCTGTTTATAGGAAACAAAGAATTCCACTAGGGATGATGGAGTGTAAAAAAATCTTCCCATGAATTAATAGAAACTCATTCTAATAGGCAGTAATCAGAGAAGGATATAAATAGAAGAGACCAACTAAATTGGGAAGAACAAACTTAGAACATGAAAGTATTACAAACTATGAAAAGCCTTCGAGAAGGAACTCCGTATGAAAACATTAAAAACAATGGTGGTCCCAAGCTTTTTCTCAATCCTTTAACTTTTCTAGGTATCATGATTTTTTGTATAGATTGTACATAACTTCTGAAAGATCAAACCTAACTAGAAATTGAGCATTTACCTTATTTACATCAACTGGCAAAGTGAAATGTTTTTCTGCGTTCAGTATCTTCCCCACAAGATTACAATCATGAAGAAGATGCTCTACAAGTGAAGAATTCTTGCTTTCTAAACATGACACTACAATATTCTCTACATGATGATGCAGAAAGTTATTGAATGGGTACCTATTGTCATAGAGAAGCAAATGTCACGGTGGATCTCATAAACATTCAAGTTATAGTAGAAATATAGAAACGTACTCAAAGAACAAATCCAAAATAAGTTTGATTGCTCCAAGGTGAATCAACTCCTTTGCAGCTTTGCTACCCACCGTGAGTAAGACTGATATGAACTCTACAATCTGAAAAAACAATCTCAAGGAACAATCAAGGAAACTTTTCTAAATAAGAAACAATACATTTAATGAATAGTAAAATATACAAGGAACCCAGAGAATCACAGGTTACAAAAAACCTGACCAATGAATTGGCCAAATGGTAAAAAGAGAATACTTGCAGAACGTGGAAAAATAACTCCAAGAAGACAAAATAAAAACCAAAGTATCCCAAATCTCTTCAATATTTCTAATACCCTGTTGGAAGACTCATAATTTTTTCAGCATAATGTTTTCTTAAAAAAAAAAAAAAAAAAAAAAACTTCATAAGTATTTAGCAATTAACACAGCACTTAGCCTCATGATTAAAGTGTATATCCATAACAACATCATATGATCACAACTACGACCTTGCCTGAAAGGATTAAACCAGTTCTTCCAAGCACCACTTCTTCCAAATGAGGCTTTAGAAGAATACTGGTACAAGAAGGGAGCAGACATCTTTAGTAAGAATTAAGATCGACTTTGAAAACACTTGTGCTTCTTTCTTTTTCTTTTTCTTTTTTTCTTTTTTTCTTCTTTTGAACAAGAGATAAAGAATTTCATTGAAAAGATGAAAAGAGAGATTATTCCTCAAAGGATACAAAAACACTTATCTGAGTTGGGAGTTTTCAATCAAGGTTTTGTAGGAGAAAAAAAAAGTTGTTTTACATGCAAGTGGGGGACGTGGATTAGGAATGCCCCATTTTGATTAAAGACAGACCAAGGTAAAAGAATTATGTCATGAGGAGAATAAAACAGGGTGGGATGCTTTCAACCATACTTTTCATCATTGTGGCATGCATCCTACAATGCTTATTGATGAGAGGGATGGAAAAAAGTGTTGATTGAGGGCTTTAAAATTAGGGAAGGTGTTCGTATTTCTCATTTAAGTTTTCCAACAACAATATCTTCCTTTTCTAGGCAGAGGAGTCTTTCAAGAGACATTTCACACATATTACAAGCCTCAATAGCTAATCATAGTGGAAGGGCCATTGAAATTCTTCCAATGGGAATTTCTTAGATGAAGAAAAAAAAAATCTTGAAAGAAATCAGGAAAGTGTATGTGGGTTGGGTCGAAATAGAGGCACGCAAATCAAGTATAGGCCCAGTCAAAGGAACAAAAGGGGGTCTAGACAGGAGTCGAGTCAAGTCTTTAAAAAAAGATAGGCTGGGCCAGATCATCAAGAACAATTGAGGAGGTCCAAACCCAGTTTGGGTCCTTGGTCAAATTGCACTTAAACCCAATGTTTTAAAGGCTTAAGCTTTGAGGCAGCATGATGCGTAAGCCTCACATTTAATTAAAATATTTTACAAATCCTAAATTGGTATGATCATGTATCGGTAAACATAAGTCATACACAAAATACAAGCATAAAAAAATTCACCCCGCAATTTTCACTCAAACAAAAAATCTAAAATGGTATCTTTAATATCACTATTATAATCAATAATAGAATTGCTTTATACTATAAATTTGTGTCTTCAATATTTTTAAAAACACAATAGTAAAAGTAGTAATAGTTTAAATTGTCACAACTCAAACCTGTATATTTTTTAAGAAGGTGGCAAGTAACTATTATTTTTCTAATCATTAGTCGAGCCGTAGAAATTTTAAGCCTCAATGAGTTCTCACAAAGCTCTTAAGCCTCTAATGATTCATTGGAGGCGTAAGTCTCGAGGCTAAAATTTAGAGCCTTATCTTGATGTGAGCCTCAGGATGTAAGCCTCAATAGCTTTTTAAAACATTGCTTAAAACCAAATGAAAGATACCTTCAGGCGATGTTTCCCAAGAGGTGGCTGCAACTTTCCGTATGTAGTAACCAAAACTTTCTCTGATGAAGAAACGTCCAAAAGCTTGAGCAACCTACCTGAACAATTGAGACCAGCACAGTTTTCAACATCTCCCGTAAAAGTTAAATAGCACAAGCAATCAAGATTACATATTCTGTCTTCAACCTTTTGTACATTTCAGTACTCTGAATGAAATCTAGTTTATCGGGAAAACAAAAGGTCCAAATATCATAAAGTAGGAAATTTATTCGACTATGAAGAGCCAGCAAGTAAAGTACAAGCTATCAAATTGGATGATTCATAAGATGGCTATTAATACCTTTGATTAATGAGGCTTAAGAAGTAAAATACCATCTACTTAACAAGACCCAATGGTCAATACAATACCTAAACTCTCCAACATGCCTTCTACAGTCTCCATAGTTGCTGAAACTGTAGATCCATGAGTTATTTGGCGGTTGTATGAATAAGCTGTTCCAACAGTCAGCCTCCTAGGATCTAACAAGGATATGCACACTGATAACGAATTTATTAAAACAGATGTTGGTCGTGAATCTTCCAAGGCATGGCGAAACAGTCTTCCTACAAAACTGATTTGAAAAAGAGAACCATTATTAGATGATCAATGACAAAATGCAGGTATATTAAAAAATGAGAATGGAAAACACTACCTTGGACTGGAAATTTTAGCCAAGAGACCAGGAGGAGCAAATCGAGTAACAGCACAAAGTGTTTCTGCTGCATTAGAATGAACTTCTGAAGAATCCTGGAAGAATGATCACATTAAAGATTCTCTTATGACTAATCGACAGGTTTTTCAACTAAGTCTATAAAATCATATCGTTGAAAAAAAAAATTCATCAAGCAAATATCAAAAAAGGAAAAAAAAATGAACAAACAAAAGATCTCCAAAACAAAAAGGAGCTTCCTTCTGTTTCAAATTTGTCACATACAAAGGAAAAGGCAAAAACCTTGTTTTATTTTGAATAAGCTGCACATATTTGACAAAGGAGCAAAAGAAATGAAGTATTTTAGGTGATTTGCAAGGAGAAGTTCTTTCTGCATGAGAAACATAATTTCTAACCTCCCATTTAGGGTCGAGATTATTATAAACTATTTTAAACGATTTGATTTGAAATACTAGAAATTATCATAGGCTTCTATTCTTGTATGAAACGAGAAATATTTGAAATGTATATGGTTTAAATACTTTATTTGGATGCTAAATGAAAAGAAAAGAACGCTTCTACTAATATACACTTTTAAGCATTATTTGAGAATGAGAAGTTCACCATTGGACTCTTATCAGGAGTATAGATACCACCAAAAGCAGGGGTCCAAAGGAAAAATGTGAGAGTCTTGGGGATGCTATTCTTTCCTAAAAGCTTTAATAAGGACCCAGTAAAAACTGGCCAGCTTTGGTGGAAGGAAAGGGGATTGCAGCGAAAGCTGAAAAGTTATGTGAATTTGCTAAGAAAAAAGAGTCCCCACTACTAAATGAAAAGGCAAGTAAACATTCTTGTGGGAGGGATAACTTCCTCAAGAAGCTACTTACTGAAGAACTGAACTTTTCCACTATCATCTCCAGCACATCAGTCTCTTCAATCCACTTCATTGATTCTGTGTAGCTTGAATACAGATGTTCATCAGCACCAAGAAGCCTTATCAAGACCTGTCCAGAAAGAATCGTTCCTATGAGCTTCACAATGTACAGTCAGTAAAGATGCAAAACCCAACGGTTATCATATTAAGGAGGGGTGATGGCCATAGTCTGAAATTATAATACTTGATAACTATGTATAACATAAGAATTAAGGAGGTAATAAAAGGCACATAGAAACTAATGCCCCAAAGATGTTGGTCCGACCATGTAATTTAAAAGTAATAATAAGAATATAAAATTAATTAATTAAAAAAAAAACATTAAAGAGTAGAAGTAACCACTAAAGTACAAAAACACTAATTCAGATACCGTCTTGCATCCAACATAAACCACTATTGTAGTGAAAGAGTTAAAATACCAGATGCAATAAAGAAAAGTGGCCAACAACCAACCTCCATGATGGACGTAATTCCTATCAGGTCAACTAGTTTCTTAACAATTGCTTGATGTGCCTGGAAATCCGTGTACAAAGTAGATAATCAGCATTAAAACGGTTGTATATGTAAATCTTTTTCAGAAGAGAAATGATTCAATAAGAACTAAAATAGAAAGATATATTACTTAAATGGAAAAGAACTAAAAAGGTAAGGAATAGAAGCTTTTCACATGACTTAAAAGAGAAGGGCAAACAAACACATAAAAAGTGTTTTTTTTGACAAGAAACAACTTTAACTTCTCATTCAATGGAGACTTAGCTCATGACCTTCTTCTCCCCTAATCTAAAACTTAAAACCTCCCTTTAGCTTGGATTGCACAACTTGATGGGGGAGATGGAATTGATTCGCCGTAAAATGGGTCTTTATAGAGTAGAATATCTTTAAAAAAAATATAGAGATTCTTCTCCAATCTAAAGAAGAGGTCAATGGTGCTTACTCCGCCATTTCTGAGAAGTACAAAGTAAAAGCCATGGCAGCAAATTTGGAAGGACCCTCCCCAGTTTTTTTTCAAGTTTCTCAAAGTGGAAGCAAAGTTCAATAATATAGTCATTTTTTATGAAAGTGTGTTTTGTTCAGTCTATGAAAGTTCTTGCTAATGGTTGAATTTGTTATTTTTAATTCTTCTTTTTCACTCCTTTTAGAAGTTTGTATCCCTTGAACTTTTAATCCTTTTCATTATATCAACGAGAAGTTGTTTCTTGTTAAATATATATATATATATATATATATATATATCTAGGCTTAACTTATAAACAGGAGCATTGTCTACTCAAACCCTTCTTCCTTCTATTATCTATAGACTATGTGATATCAAACAGGTCAAATTCAACCTGGCAAACCATGTTGTTTCACACCATACTTCAGTCATGCATAAAATGTAAAAGGCCAAGTGAAATTGAGAATGTCTTAAACATCCAAATTCTTTAAAAACAGACAAGGAAAATACAAACTTACTTGAACATATTGCATAAAAGAAATTGTCTTCCGCAACAACAAGCATATGACAACCTGGCAAGGAAGTAAGTTCACATAACAGATGTTCCAAAAATCTTTCCCGTGTAAGACATAGAAAGTTGTTGAAAGTTGAGACAAGGGGAAGGCTAACCACATATGCAGAAGATAATTTAGAACTAAAATACTATGAAAGTGATACCTTGCTGAAGTAGCCAGCCAATAGTGTGCTATGAGAAGGCTTGGGTTCTAGGAAGGAAAACAACAAGTTCATCAACTGCAAACAACCACATCAAGAAAATCTGTTATTGATCTATCATTTATAATTTAATAGGGTAAAGAAAGCAAGTTCTCCACCTCTTCATCCTCCACCAATGCTTTGAGAATTATATCAACTTCACAAGTAAAAATCTCACAAGCGATAAAAGGAAACCTGGGCAAGAATATATAGAATAACCAAATTTAAAATTAGAGAGAGAGAAGGCATAAGGAATGACATCTGGAATATGCAACCAAAAATTACTTAAAACTTCGTTTCTTCTCAGCCTCTTCAGGAGCTTCTTCGACAATATATCTGATGAGCTGTTCAATCTGTGTTCTTTCTCTCAAGCTGTAAGGCAAGAAGGCAGGCACAACACTCATCAATTTACGTAATATGATAAACCTTCTTAGTAAAGTTCTCGTATTTATCCATTCCAGTTTTTTTTATCTGCCAACCCATTAAGGTTAATATTTATTATATGAGCTAGCTGCTGTGAGGCAGTTAGCTTAACCAATGTAGTACAAATTTAAAAGACTGACTAACAATATATCAGCAAATAAAACCTAGTAGAATGGATGGAAATTACAATGCTACTGGTGACTAGTACAGCAAGTACTATCAAAGTCAAATATAATCAGTGTTACATGATCCCATAAATTAATTTCTCTGCATGTGTTAGCAGCCTATCAACCAAAAGAAAAGATATGCCAAGTATAGACCAGAAAATAGGAGAAAAAGAAAGATGATAAATGAAAAATCAGAAGGAACATTACAAGTTAATAAGTCGACTATTAAGTGCTTTGCATTCCTGAATTATTTCATCCTCATCTAGAAGCTCCTCTAATGTAAAATTTTCCTTATCCAAAATTGTCTCCACCTGCAACAAAAGAAAATGAAATGAGTAAGAAACACACATTTTCATTAAAACTCAAGTAAAGCTGGACCACTGTCATCTTTCTATTCATTGAACTTGGAGAATGCAATATAAAAGTGTCCTTGTATTACTGGATTCTAAATTCTCTGAAACCTCACACGAGGTATTCAAATGAACAATATTTTAAACCTCACCAGTGGATCTCTCCAATCCTCTAAAAATCCTACTATTCCTCCCCAAGCCAAAGCCCCCAAAACACAGCAAAGAGCACCATTCTTCATTTCCGCAGTCTAGGAGCATTGTTTGTTACCAACCCAATGAATCCCAAAGAAGTCCCATCAACAATCCCAAACCGCCAAAATGAACTTCAGTTACCCAAAATATAATCCAAATCTCTCAATGCTTGATGACACAAAGAGCACCATTGCGAACCCAACATAAAGAAATAATGCTTCTGAAAATGATCCAAGAGGTTAACTTTCTCATGAAAACTCTGTCACGCAAAGAATTTGACCTTTTTGGGAATCCTTACATTCCAAAGAGAGATGCAGACGTTCCGGAGGGAGGAGAGGGGATACATGGCACATGGAAAAAATGAAATAGAATAGAAACCTCTCGAAGATTGAGGGGACCAAAAGCCAATACCCTTTCTCCCCAGACTTACCAAAGAGTCATCTATCAACAAAAGCAAGGTCGCTACATAAACAACTTTCCTATCCATCAAAGGGCGGTTGAACCTCAAATAAATAGAAAATGAAAAATGACAATGATCAAGGGATCTAGGGAGAGAAGGACAAAGCCACAAAATGCAACCTTTTGTCTGCAAGATGGTACAAGCGAGGAAACGCATACCTTTTGTCCGCAAGATGGTACAAGCGAGGAAACGCATAACAAGCTTCAGGCATCCTCCTTCGCAACTTGTAAGCTGCACAAGTAGTACTCGATTTCCCATGAGCTACAATTCATAGGAAAACTTTCGACTTGTTTTTCAGGATTTTGGATTTCCAAATGGTCTTGTTGAAGAGGGTTTAAAAACTAAATGGGTCTGGCGCTTTCACCATAAATCTGATTCAATGTGGCATAACATTATTGTGAGTAAATTTGGTCCACTCTAGCAAAACCTCAAATGGGACTAAAGGCACCTTCCAAGTCTCCTTGGAGAGGCATTGCAGGAGAGTTTCCTTTCATGTATCAATTCATTTGTTGGTTGGTTGGGGATGGGAGAGTATATTTTTCTAGGATGATAGGTGGTTGGAGGACAGCCCCTTCTGCTTTGTTTTTCCTCATTTATAACATTTGTCTACGATGAAAAAACTCTTGGTGGCTGACGTTTTGGCTCAGCTAGTCCCCCACTTTCGGGTTTTATTGTTCATTGTCTGAAAGAGAAACGGGAATATCGTTGCTCTTTTTTCTTTGTTGGGGCGTTTCAGTGCTCTTCTGGGAGAAGGAACTTTCGTTTATGGTGTCCTAGCCCTTTGGAGGGTTTTTCTCATCTTTCCTTCTTTCTTTGTTTGGTCAACCCTTCTTCCTTGAGAGATTTGGCGTTTGCCTCAATGTTGAGGTTCAGATTCGGAATTACCTTGAAACAATAGATATGTTTTTGGTTTATAATTTTATTCAACAATAACCCAATAGAATTGTCCACTTCTCAAGTGCTCAAGTGGTTGCTTCTTTCTGGTAGGTTGAGTAATCGACTTAATAAATAAATAAATAACAACCGTCTTTTTCTTAGCTGCTGAAACATGCGAACAGAAACGAAGAAAAGGTTAATTGACTTTTCCTTTGGCGCCCTCTCACATGGAGTATGGTGCTTTGGAGGATTTTATTGGATACTTTCAAGTGTTTCCAATGGGATTACAGGTGCATTATACTTTCTTCTTCACGGTCATTTATTACCAAAAAAAAAAAAAAAAAAAAAAAAAA